GATAGATAGATAGATAGATAGATAGATAGATAGATAGATAGATAGATAGATATGGATGGGGTGATTGGAATGGGAGGATTTAGAAGGAAACAAGTAGGTAAAGAGGGTTGTAGGAAAGAATAAGGGGAGAGAAGCTAAAATTATGGGGTATTTGAGGGACAGTGTAGAAATCTAACACAGTAGAAATTTCCTAAAATATACAAATGCATTAATTCTTCTTGAATGAAATCTTCAAATACTGGCAGAGCCAGAGTACAACTGCCCAAACAAAGCTTCCAGTACCGGGATTGGGTTACATCTAATTGAGCTGTTGGCCAAAAAAATCCCCACAGGAATCCCCAAATATCCCGGAGTATTGCCAAGACTATGGGTTGCTCTCTACAAACTGACAGAAAGGCCCCAGAGCTGAAGACAACAGCTACACAACTCACTGACCATGGAGATGTCGAGCTGGTGCCCACATAGAACCTTCACCCCTACACTCTAGCGTCTTGGGTACAGTAAAGTACTCTGCAGGCTTCCAAAAGAGAAATAGAAACACAAAACTAGTCACAAACCTTTGATCTATAAAAGTATATGCTACCTGCAAGACATGCTAGAACAATGGTGGCACAAATTTGTGAGAGTAATCAACAGAAGATTGATTTGACTTAAGACCCAATCTACAAGATAGAACCCACACCCATCACTGCTTGGGTGACCAAGAATCTGACACTATATGGCCCAGGGACCTAGGGTAAAACCAAATACTGGTTGAAGGGGTAAAAAAAGACAAAAAAGTATATAGAGATAATGACTCCTAATGATATTCTGCTATACTCATAGATCAGTGTCTTGTTCAGCCATCATCAGAGAGAGATGCTTCCTCCTGCAGCAGATGGGAATACAGAGACACAGCCAGACATTACATAGTGAGTTAAGAGACCTTGAAACACCTAGACCTAAATGGGAGGTCTCCATCAAATCCCTCTCCTCAGAGCTCAGGGAACCCTGGGGAAGTTGAAGAAGAAAAGGTTTAAGAGCCAGAGAGGATGGAGGACACGAGAAAAGCAAGCCCTCTAAATCAACATGAGCGAAGCTCCTCTAACTCAGGACCGAAGCAGCATGTGCAGCCTGCACAGGGCTGCACCAGCCCCGTTTATATAGTGGATGGCTTCCACGTTAGTGTTTTTATGGGATTCTGGACTGGGTCTGATTCTTGTGCCTTTTCCTGCACTCTTCTCCTTCTATTGGTTTGTCTTGTCTAACTTTGATGTGATTAATTCTTGTTTTATCTTATTATTTAAGAAAATCAATAAATGGATGAAAACCTAGGCACTAGGATAAAGACTTAACAGCAGAAGTACCCCACCTGCTGGGAAAGGGAAACCAGCTTTTCCAATGGAGTAACTAACACTGGGTGTTTCAACCATTCCAGCGCAGGCCTCGTGTTCAGTACCTGATCAACACCTACCTACTCCAGTTTCCTTGTGTACTTTTATTTGATTATAGTTTGGTGGGGGTTTTTGTTTTGTTTTGGTTGCTGTTTTATTTTCTTGGTTTTGGGTTTTTGGTTTTTTGAGAAATTAATTTAAAGTTGGGTGGGTAGGGAGGGGGAGAAGGGAAGAATGTGATCAAGATACACTTAAATTTTAAAATAGCTTTAAAAAATAAAAACATAATAAAGAAAAAATCTACCGGCACATAAATGCTTCTGCTTACAAATGACACCCTCAGTTCTAAGATTTCATTAGCTGAAGCAAATCACTTACACAGAATTGATAAAGTGTAACATGAGGTATAATTCTTTTGATATGCCTAGATGAAAACAAGAAATATCTGGAATGGGCAAGATAGCTCAGTGTGTATAGGTGCTGGCTGTCAAGTCTGATGACCCGAGTTTGATGCCCAGAAACCACATAGTGGAAGTAGAGAACCAACTCTCAAAATCTGTTCTGACTTCTGCACACATGCACACACTTAATTAAATAAGTATAATAAAAAACTAATAAAAGAACTTACTGATAGGATAGTAATACTCCATATGAATATTACTAAATATTGAATGCGTATAGCTGTTTACTGGCCACGTCTTTTCTATTCTAGGCTTGGGATTGTTTTATTCTCATAGAACAACTTGCAAATGTACAAATAAACAGACTATAAATAATGAATGTCCAAATAACACATGTATACCTTTGTAACCTACACTATATCTAATAAACACCTGAGGAACTGCTGCATAAAACCTAAAAAAAAAGTGGGAAGGTTATTGCTTATAGACCAGATTTGACTTTATGGTGTTGGTGGCTGAGTATGACAGAGAACAGGGCACCTAATACAGGCTTTCTCTACTCCTTCTCCCCTACAGGAGAAAACTCACCCAACAACTTTGTTAAAATTAGCATAGCATGTCACAATCATCCCTATCATTTTACCACTCACAAACTGTGTTGGTTTGGATGAGAAGGGCCCTCAAAGTCTCATATATTTGAATGTTTGCTTTCCAGCTGGAGGAATTGTTTGGGAAGGATTAAGAAGTGTGTCACTGTGAGTGGGCTCTGAGGTTTCAGAAGCCCACAGCAAGCCCAGTCTCTGTTTCTTGGCCTGTACCTTAGGATCAGATCTGTGCTGCTCTACAGGTGGGGCAGCCACACATGCCTGTCTGCTGCCACGCTCCCCACTAATGACAATGACATCCCCCTGAAACTGTAAGAAAGCCCTCAATAAATGCTTGCTTTCTCAGTTGCCTTGGTCATACGTTTCATCACAGCATTAATTAGATCATACAGAAGACTTACTAAGACACCAGCTTTGGATACTCATATAACAATATATTTATGTTAAACTGTTTAAATACCCCATTTGATAAAAACTTAGTAACCTTGTCCTTTCTAACTCAAAATGCACAGAGTGCAGAAATGACCATCAGGCATCAGGGAACAAAATCCTCAAATCCAAAGCAAACCCAATTTTAGTACAGAGATAAGCACCTCTACTTTGTTAGTACGCATGTGTGTACATGTGCCTGAGTTTCAATACCTAAATGTGCATCAATGTATATGTTTTCAGTTCCTACATTGCAGATGATAGATTATGATAATTATGGATGATGCAGAGTACTGGTATGGAATAAGCTCCATAATATTTTAAGACAAAAGGAGTACAAAGGGGACTTACTGACCTTTTCCTTTCTTTTTCATGGTTTTTGACCTCAAACTTGTGATACTCCTTCCTCACCCCCTACCTTACACCCCTGAGCTCTGGGATTACAGGTATATGACATTACACTTGGCACAGAACAACTTTTATATCCCATCATTTCTTTAAAATATACATGAACATATATATATATATATCTGAATGTACATACACTTTGTACCTTTACAATATAAGAAATTGATGAATGTTGCTACAGAATAGGGGCAAAAGACGTGTTTTCATTTGATGCCTTTTTCCCCTTGACTCCCTAAAAATGTGTACATGTGTACTTCCTAAAGAAATAGAAAAATTAGCACTCTCATGACGATTCGGTGGGTAAAAGGTCTTGTTGCCAAGCCCGACAACCTGAGTTGCTGCTGAGAAGCCACATGGCAGAACTGACTTCTACAGATCATCTCCTGACCTCTACATGTGAGCCACGGCACATGCCACCCACCAACACACCCACCTAAACATCCAATAAACAAATGTTTAAAACAACAACAAAAACCTTCAGAAAGTCAAATAGAGAAATAATCAAAGGAAAAACAATTCACTAAAATATGAACTGACAAATTTGGCAAAAAACATACAAATGCATTCCTAATAAAAAACAGATGTACCCAATAACAAAAAAATCATTTTTAGTTTATTAATCTGGCAAAAATTCAAAGGTCTTTTTACACTCAATACCAATAAAGGTGAGTAACTTTACTGGTGGACGAATAAATATCAGTGTTTATAAAAGTAAGAGTGAGCAGTTTGGGACCAGGCAGTCACTGCCCTCAGGACACCAGCAGTGTTCTGTAGGAACCTAGCGCATGCGCTCTGGAGTCAGAGTGCTTTTGTTCAACTCCATTTCCCACACACTAGCAGGTTGCTTTCTTTTTTAAATATTTATTTTTATTTTAAGTGCATGGATGTTTCGCCTGCACGTATAACTGTACATGCCTGGTGCCTGTGGAGGTCAGAAGGAGGCGTCAGATCCCCTGGAACTGGAGTTACAGACATGGCTGCAGGTAGTGCTGGAACGCTAACTTGGATTCAGTGTCCTTATCCGAGCAGCCATCTCTCCAGCCCCTAAAGATTTCTTTTTTTCTGGACTTAAGTTTCTTCATTTATAAAATAGACATGATAGCAACATACATTTCATATTTTGTTGTAAGAATAATATATCCTGTAAATTTATAATAAAGAACTTCTTAACTTGAAGGCAAAAATAAATTTAAAATGTCTTTATTTATATAGGAAATTCTGTTACCTATTTTTAAAAAAAAATGTCTGTCAATTTGTCAAGCTTATCTGAAAGAAACCATCTCTTTTTATCACATACTGACATGATACAGGATGTAGATGTCAAAGTCAACTTAATAGACATCATTAAATAATCACACATATGCAGCCCTGGATAAACGGTTAACAATACAGGCTGATGTTAAGGTGGGCACGTAGAGAGTCCATGAACACCACGGGATTAACAAACGTGTTTCCTGCCAACAAATTGCTTTCTGTGAATC